ATATTATTTTGATAAAATATTGATCTCTGTTACATATATAAATTTATTTGGGATTTGAGGATTAATCATATTTTTATTTGAATTAAATATTAATTTTATATGTTATATGTCTTGCATATATATATGTGTGTGTATGTGTTGTCATTTCTACAACAACTGCAGAAATAATTTTACTTATAAGTTGCGTTGCAAATTACTCTAATTTTAATTATATTTTTTTGCGGGAAAAGAAATAGAGTCATCTTTTAATTCCACTCCTTTGGTTTGATCATATGAGCCTATTTGGTTATTAGTGGTGAGCTCAACACATTGTTCTATTTGGGCAAATTTTATTTTTTAATTTGTGTAGAATATTTATAACTTTATATTCTCGAGTTGCTCCATTAATTTTACAAATAAGTTAATTTTGAATTTTTAGGATTCTAAGTGTATTTTGTTAAAAATTAGGTTTGTCAACAGATGGTAAGATTAAATTTAATTTGTGCGCCAGTTATGAACCAAAATTTGGGTTGAGACAATTGCTTTAAACAAAAAGTAATATATATATATATATATATATGGGGAGAGATCATTTGACTCCAGAGTAAGATTTAAAAGTCTTACTCCTCATCTCAGCCCTTGATTTCCGTTCATCCAACGGTTATCATTTAATTGAAATTAATAATTAATTAATTGTTGTAACTTATTAAATGATAACCGTTGGATGAACGGAAATCAAGGGCTGAGATGAGGAGTAAGACTTTTAAATCTTACTCTGGAGTCAAATGATCCCTCCCCTATATATATATATATATATATATATATATATATATATATATATATATATATATATATATATATATATATATATATATAATTAATTAACATAGATTACCCTATACTCTTATTTTCATTTCATCTAATCCTTACCATTCTTTTAATTTGTTTTGTAAACAATTGAAAGATAGTGTACGAAACTCTTTAACTATCAAATTCTTTAACTACGTACATTTTCTTTACTATTTTTATGCTTGTAGAAAATAGAATATAAATAATTTGCATTATAATTAGAATAATTAATATTATATAATTAAAATGAAATATTATTTAAATGATAATAGTAATATATAAATATAATTATTTTTAAAAAATAAAGCCAATTAGCTAACCAATCTAACTAATGTTGAATAAATCGGACGTATTCATATATTTTACACGAGTCTATAAAAATTCTTACGTCTCTTCTTCAATTAATAAAAAAATAAAGTGGTAAATATTAATATTTAAATTTAAATATTTCGTGATAATATAATTATCTTAAATAGATTAATTATTTCTTCATTTTTCGATTGCTTGGAAGAAAACAAAATAAACTCAAATATTTTCTTTTTTCTTTTTCAATCTCTAATGTATAGTGGACCAATTGGGTAAATTAAATTTATATTAAATTATTTAATAAATATGTTAATTAGTTACATTTTATTCAAACAAATGACTCTAGTCTAGTGGTAAATGATTCACATTATTCATCCCAAACATTAGTTCAAATCCCAATAAAATCTCCATCTTTCTTGTAGTTTTGAATTTATCTATGTGATTGATCTATATTGAACCATGGTTGATATTTCTTATCCTCGCATTCCTAATGAAATTGAAATGATCCCCAAATCGATGAGAAAATCCTCTTAATTAGCTAGAAGTGTTACTTGAATCAAAGTAGTTCTTGTGAAACCATATTAAATTATTAGCTAGCTAAAAAAGGATCCATATCAAATACCAATCACACGTCTACCTAAAAATAATTCTGTTTCGATATGTTCTTAAAAAAAATTGATTCGTACAAATTATTCCCCAACTAAGAAAGAATTCTTGGTTTAGTTATCACATAAATAACCCATTTGTTTCTTAATAAGAGATGAAACATGCTCAATATCATTTCATCATTACTTGCATTTTCAATTTATTTGTCCACATGCATTTTCAGAGCTAGGTTTGAATTTCCATATAAACAATTAACCATATAAACGCATAAACCACACCCAAAATTCCAATAAAATAAAATAAAAAATGAGGAAACGCAAACACCCAAAGAAGTTTGAAAAAATAGACCGTAAAACAAAACAAAACTAACCTAAAGTGATTCAAGTCAAAAACATAAATTGCAAGGAGTACCTGTTCTATTTCCAATTCTGATTTTATCTGAGTTAGGTTTCAACCAATACAGTTTCATATTTAGCCATAGGAATTGTTCAAAGGGATTTTTATTTTCTACAAAAATTTATTTATGTACGTGCATTTTTAGTGTACGTTAGAAGTTAGAACCAATAATGCGGTCTCCATATAACCATAGTGAAGTTTGAAATAATGGTCAATCTAACGCAGAAACCACACCCAAAATTCCAAAAAAAAAAAAAAAAAAGTGAAGAAGAAAAACAAACACCCAAACAAATTTGATAAAATAGACAGTAAAACAAAACTAACCTAAATTCATTCAAAGTTAAAAAATAAAATAAAAATGCAAATGTTTTAATTTTTAAGGACTTAGACATAGGGGGCACACTTGTTCTATACCTATTTCCTTTCCTATTGGGGTAAGATAATTTAAAATTCACTTCCCTTTTATCATTTCCCAATAATGAAAAATAAAATAAAAGTCACAAAGAAATTAAAAAAGTTTTGATCAGCTCATGGACCCACTCTGAAGCCGCCGAAGGTGGTGATTTACAATGGGCTTGAAGCATCTATCTAATCAGAACAGAGAGATGTTTTGTTGCTTTGCAATTTTTAGACATTGCAAATAATAAATGGATTTAAATACATCCTATTGGCCATTACTATCATATAATTGATTTAATTTCTTACTCAATAAATTGATTTGATAATAATATAGAGAGTCAGAGACAGGGTTGGGTCCGCACATCCTCCATTATTGTTTATAGAAAAACCATAATTTGGTTCTGAAGTTGTGTCTAGGATCATTGTGGGACCCTATTAAAAAGTCAATCCCTCATTTTTATATGCATAAAAGTAATAATAAATAAAAAATTTAAATAAATAATTTAAGAATATATATATATATATATATATTTATATATATATAAGGAAAAAATCTTTTCACTTTGCTGTAAGATTTAAATATTTTATTTTCTATTTAAATCGTTGATTTTCATTCATATAACATATATTATTTATTTGAAATTAATATAATTTAATAAATTATAACCGTTGGATAGACGAATTCAAAATCTTACATCAGAGTCAAAAAATTTCTCTGCATATATATATATATATATATATAATAATTTTACATCAATATAAATTATATTCTCATTTTTTACATTAATACTATTTATTTCTAACCTTTTTAATTTATTATTTATATAAATTTATCAATGTCTATTTATTTACTTAAGGGTTTTAATATTTCTGCATTAGCTTCAGAAAATATTTATCTATTATATTCACATAAAAATGAGTGAGTTCTATTAATTTTTTTTCTTCATAATAAAATTAACTTGCTTTTATATGAATGTTGCGGAAAAATATTTTCTGGAATAAAAGTAAAAATATTTTTTTCTGTACTTAAATACAAAATATATGCGGCGAACCAACCGATCATATGGTCTAGGCTCGAGTTTCCGTAGTACTCGTTAAGATTCTAAAGGGTCTCATTCAGTTAATATGCAAAAAGTTTTTCAGCAGATGCATACTGTACCAGGTAAATAATGTTAGAGCTGCTGTAATTGTATTTAAATTATTATTTTTCCCCATTATTTTACTTTCCCAATTTCAATTAATAAAAAATCGTTTTATGTTACAATTAGAAAATATATAAACATTTAAGCTCAAGCGGCGTGATATCGCGCGTGAGAAACTCATGGCAAGCAGGAAAGGGGTAGGTCGAGTATTTTGAACGGTAGCAGCGTAACTTTCGAAGGGAAAAAAACAAATATTTATATTGGTTATTTTTTTTGTGCATAAATAAGTTATATGTATTGAATCTAAAATGACATCGTTTTAATATAGAAATTAAGGTATTTTTATAATTATAATTTATTTCAGGTTATAATAGTCTTTCTCATCATTATTTTTTAATTTTTCAATCCAAAACAAGATCATATTGAGAATGAATGTAAATATTTTATTTATATTCACTATAGAAACATTAAAGCCTATTTATATATAAGAAAATATAAATATTATATTGTAAGAATGTGTTTTTGGTCAAAGTTGCCGATGATCTATAGAAATTTTTTTTTTTTTAATATTTTAACTGCATCTTCTCCAAATTTCAAATCGTTGTCAGATGTTATAGTTCAACTTTGAGTATCAATAAAATTATGAAATAAAATATTATTAGTCAGTGTCAAGTAGCCAAGTAGACTTTGAGATTCAAGGGTTAACATGATCATGGCCTTCAACATTGCTAGTGCATAGTGTTGGGACCCATAATGGGGTAACAAATAACCATGCAAGTGCCTGGTTCAGGTTCTTTATAATAAGTTAATGGGTTTTCGTTTTATTCTTTAACATAACATAACAAACTTTTTTACTCTCACAACATTTTGTGGGGTCCACACTTTTTAAAACAAAAAAATAAATAAAAAATTAAGGCACGCAAAAAAAATCTCTATAACATTGCACAATCACTTTTCCTACCACATAACTCTTATAAAACCTTAAGTTAATATCTTAAGTTTTCAAATTTTCAAACCCTTGCATCAGCATCAGCTGTTAAAAAACGACAAGTCACCGGGACTAAGAGAGAGAGAGAGAGAGAGAGAGAGTGGTCTTAATTGTGAGGCTCACTCTTCTTTGAAAAACGGTATATAAACAGAGGCATAGAGGTGAGCTAATACCCCTTCTTCAGTACTGCATCCATTTTCTTGGGATTCGTAATGCTCATTCAATCAATGACCCTTTAATCTTCACTATCCCTTTTGCATATTCTTAGTGCTCTTTGCCTGTTTTTTTGTGTGTGTTTGATCTCTGAGATTTGTCAGCACCAAGGGTGAACAAACATGGCAGGTGACAAGGGATCAATCACCCTGGAGGGGATCAAGAATGAAACTGTTGATCTGGTACATGCCTTCAAACCCCTTTATTTTCTCTCATTTTCCCTTTTTTTTCCTCAATAAATTCTGTGTTAGAGTGTGTTTAGCTATAGGTGCTATTCAAAGAGAAAAATCTTAAAAAAAGTTTCGATTTTTTTTCATTTTCTTTCATGGCCATGATGGCTCTTTGATTTCCCTCATACTTCCAAACCATCAAGGAGTTGAGATTTCTTATAACTTTGATCTGTTCATCTTACTTCAACCAGATGGTCAGTTTCTCCTTTAGGATTGGTCTGCATATATAAAAGAGGTTTCAGAAAATTTTTCTTTTCTGCATATATATTGACCATGGCCAAGAAAATTAACAAATCAAAGTTGATAGAGGGAAATTGCATGTGGGGTAAGGTAACAGATACGGAGAGGGATTATATATCTAAAGTCATAGAACCATGTATAGGGTAGAGAATTTTGTTTTCTTAGAATTTTACTTCTCTTTCTCAGCAACCAAACAGCTTAATCTATCTGGCATTACTAGCGGATCTAAACATGTGAGAGACAGATAAGACTTAAAGAGGTCAATCACGTCTTAAATATCACCCCCATATTTTCAGGGTGTGTACATATTTCTCAAATGTCCATCATGTGTGTGTTGTGTCTCTGTCTGCGCCTTGTTTGGTGGCAGGGAAATTTTAAGTACTTTTCCGTGGTACTTTGGTTTTTTTTTTCTCTCAATATTTTGTGTGAATCATAGTCATAGCCTTGGGATTAACCGTTTTTATGGTAAGTCTCACATTCAACGGTCCTGACACAATGAGGGTCCACAGTTTTTGGATTCATGAATGGTTCTCTGTCATGTGATTTCCCCATTTTTTCCCTCAGTTTCTTTTGCAAATTTTACCCTTTTTTTTTTTTTATTAAGTTATATTTATTTTATGTTATAGGAAAGCTACTGTCACATGTGAAAGGGGAAAGAAAAAATAAATATGAGATCCACCACTCCTTTATGTATATAGAAACTTGTTTATCTTATGCAACATAATATAAATATAATAGAATAAACAAGAAAAGAGTATTATTAATTAAATTAAGGACCAAACGGGTCCCCAAGTTGTCGAAGCTGAGGAAGGAGTGGAGGCTGTGAACACGCGCCAAATCACATGGTGAGAGAGTTGTGCTGTTCTGTCTGACATTCAACACTTTCTTGATGAGATGGGGTAGCGTCCCAAGGCCTGTTTGGCCCACACTCATCGATAATAACCCTTTTTTTATTTTTATTTTTTATTTTTTATTTTTGACTGAACAAGTTGTCTTTGAGGATTTTAGATTTATTGTCAATGGGAGTCAGTTAATGTCACTGTACTTCGTGTTTTAAGGCATGCGCGATATGTGGCATGATTTGGATATCTTAAATGTCAAACACGATGACACATAATTGGATATAGTGATATACTAGTGTAAAAATATTGAATCTCTCAAAGTAAAATACCTTTAACTTTTTTTTATTTTAAAAAAAAAAAAACACCTTTAGGGTTTTTAGTAGAAAGTTTTGTTTAAGATTCTCGGAAAATTGAGGTTGATAATCTTATTTACTCATATTTAGTATGAGATTTTAAAAAAAAATTCGGGAATTTAATTTTTCCGGTATTTTATTTGGTGTGTAAATTTTTTTGAAAAAACCAATAAAAAATACCACCTAGTAGGTGGTATTCTAGAATTTTCATGGCAAGAGAAAATTTAACACAACCAAACATAACATTAAGAAAATTAACCCAATATTTTTGGAATATTTTAGCCTACCAAACAATTTTTTGGTAACATTCACATAAACTCATTTTTCACCATATTCTTGAAAATCGTGATTCTCAGGCAAAATAAATTTCTCCTATATTAAACGCCACCCTTAACCTTAACTTTAATGATAAAATAAGATACAATTCACTAATAGTGGTGTAAAAGAAAAATAAAAAACATAAAAATATATCAAAACAATAATAATGTTTTTTTAATAATAAGGTAAACTATGTTGAACTTATTTTCTTAAAAAAAATTGTGGAGAGAGAAGTTAAATTTAAATTTTTTAGAATTGGATATTCTTAGAGTATGCGCTAAGAATGAAGAAAAGCTTGTGCTAGTTTCTTTTGAATAGGGTGTGCATGAGTCAGGTTGGGTCATGTTTTTGTGCCGATTCGACTCAATTTGATTTTTATAAGTCAGGTATTTTGACCCGACCCGCTTTAATTTGATCCAAGTCAGGTCTGACTTGGTTTGAATTTTTTTGAACTAGTTCAGAACCAGGTCGCATCTAACCTGAGTTGGTTTCTGAAGTGGGTCTGACTAGGTTTCTGAAGTGGGTCAAATCTGACCTGACCCGTTTTTGACTTGGTTTCGTCACAAAATTTCGTCGAAATTTTTACGTTTCAAACGAAAAAAATTTCGTCACAAAATTATTTTTTTCGACAGAATATTTTTTGTCGAAAAGAGACGAAATTTTTTCTCTAATAAATTTTTTTACAGAAATAAATTTTCTATCGAAATTTAGTTTCCGTCAAAAGTTTTGACGAAAATGATTTCCTCTATCAAATGTTTTAAACGAAAAAATAATTCAGTCAAAAATTTTGACGAAATGTTTTTCGTTCAAAATTTCGATGGGAATGTGTTCTGACGAAAATTTCGACGGAAATTGTTTTGAGGGAAATGTTTCATTCGAAACTTTCGACGAGATTTAGATTCTCTAAAGGTTTTTTGACAGAATATTTTTTCCGTCAAAATTCTTTATCGAAATATTTTTTGTCAAAATTTTTCACGAAATTTTTTGACAAAAATGTGTTCCGTTGAAAATTTTGATGGAAATACTTTTTATCAAAAAACTTGACGAAAATATTTAGTCGAAAATTTTCGATGGAAATGTGTTTCGCTAAAAATTTCGACGAAATTTTTTTTTGTCAAAAAATTTAACAAAAATATTTCCGTCGAAAACTTTCGCCGAAATTTGAATTCTGTAAAGAATGTTGATGAAATTTTTTTCCATCAAAAAATTTCTATGAAAATGTGTTTCGTCGAAATTTTTGATGAATATGTTTTTTGTGAAATATTTTGATGAAATTTAGATTCCGAAAAAAAATTTGACAAAAAAATGTTTTCTTCAAATTTTTTTACAGAAATGTTTTTAGTCACAAATTTTGATGAAAATATTTTTCGTCAAAAAAATTTAATGAAAATATTTTCGTAAAAAAATTTGACGTAATTGTTTTACGTTAAAACTTTTCTTTTAATGTAATTGTGATTTTTTTTTCAGAGTATGGGTCAAATTTTGGGTCAATGTGTCATTATTAAAACAAATTAGGTCTAAAACTGACCCAAATTAAAGTGAGTCAGTATTTAAACCAGTTCAAAAAAATAAAAAAAAGGTATTTATGGGTCAGGTCAAGGTCAAATCAAGGGCAGGACAAGTGAACCAGTTTTTTTGCACACCCCTACTTTTCAATTCAATGAAATTAATATGTAAAATTACAATTTCAATTCTAAATGGAATTTCAAACATAAAGATTGGAATTAAGAGATTCAATACTCAATTTCAAACTCTAAGTCAATGCTCAATTTCAAGAGCCAAACGACATATGAGGATTCCAAATGTATAAATAATGTTTTTTTTTCTTTTATTCATATGCGTGGTGTAAATAATGTTTATTACTAACGAATCAAAGTCATTTATGTTTTTGATCAAAATGTTAGTAAAGTAGTCCTATACTCTCACCTTCAGCGCTCTTCATGTCTTATAAGTATGATTTTTATATTAGGAAGCTTAGTTTTTGCAACATAATAGTTTGAAATGCAACTCAACTATAGGCCCAAGAAAAGCTAATTTACCACTTCACCTCTCAACCCCAGCATAGTTGATTCTTTTGCCACAAATGGTCTCAAATGTATTTGGTTGATTGATAATAACATGCATACCCAAGGTTGCTATTAGCAATAAATATGGACAAAAGAGAAAACTTGAAAGGTCTTTGTAAGTCAATTACAACAATAATCACATACAAAAAAGAAAGGTAAGGAAGAAACAATTGCATTGCATTGATAAAAAAGATTTGAACGCAAAACACAAGAGATTGTTGATCGAGAAGTGACTCAATTTGATGCATTCTTTTGTTGAAGTGGTAGTATGTAGGAAATATGTTAAGGAATCTTTTCTAACATTACTTGTTTATAGGAACGTATTCCAATTGAGGAAGTGTTCGAGCAATTGAAATGTACCAGGGAAGGTTTGTCCTCGGACGAAGGAGCCAACAGGATTCAAATATTTGGGCCAAACAAGCTAGAAGAGAAGAAGGTTCCTTCATTTATGATATAATTTCTAATATATTTCCATAGATACAATGACTAAATGCAATTGCTAATTGATAGTAGTTGTAAATTGTAATAAACAGGAAAGCAAATTTCTCAAGTTTCTTGGGTTCATGTGGAATCCCCTGTCATGGGTCATGGAAGCTGCAGCTATAATGGCAATTGCTCTTGCAAATGGGGATCATAAGCCTCCAGATTGGCAAGATTTTGTAGGTATTGTTTGCTTGTTGGTGATCAACTCCACTATCAGTTTCATTGAAGAAAACAATGCTGGAAATGCTGCTGCTGCTCTTATGGCTGGTCTTGCTCCTAAGACTAAGGTAATACATTGATCAAGAAATTGTGGATGCTTGTGACGCAAAAATAAATGAGAGGTCTTTCATCTCTTTTTGTAGAAAAGGGAGACTAATGGTTAACTCTAAATACATTGTTTATGTACAAGGATATATACTATAACCTGTTAGAGAAGTCTAATATATCAAACCATTAAAAGTATACCTTACTTAACATTGTAAGCTTTTGGGTTGAGATAATTCTTTAACATGGTATCAGAACCTGTGACCAAGTGGTCACGAATTCGATTTTCACCTCTCCCCACTCTTTTAATAAACATAATTGTGGGATTTCTTAATATAGGTAGGTCGACATGTGCAAAGTTTAAGCTTGTTTTCATGACTCATGGAATTTTCATGTGTTTGCAGGTTCTTAGAGATGGTAAGTGGAGCGAGCAAGAAGCTGCAATACTAGTCCCTGGAGACATAATAAGCATCAAACTAGGTGATATTATACCTGCCGATGCTCGTCTTCTTGAGGGTGATCCATTAATGGTTGATCAAGCAGCTTTGACAGGAGAATCACTTCCTGTGACTAGGCATCCTGGTCAAGAAGTTTTCTCTGGATCAACTTGCAAACAAGGTGAAATTGAAGCTGTTGTTATTGCAACTGGTGTCCACACATTCTTCGGCAAAGCAGCTCATCTGGTAGATAGTACCAACCAAGTTGGACATTTTCAGAAGGTTCTTACAGCAATTGGGAACTTTTGTATTTGTTCCATTGCAGTTGGTATGTTAGCTGAGATCATAGTCATGTACCCAATTCAGCGCCGTAAGTATAGAGATGGAATTGACAACTTGTTGGTCCTATTGATTGGAGGAATTCCTATTGCTATGCCAACTGTGTTGTCTGTGACAATGGCCATTGGTTCTCACAAGCTCTCTCAGCAAGGTGCCATCACCAAGAGAATGACTGCCATTGAAGAAATGGCTGGTATGGATGTTCTTTGCAGTGACAAGACAGGAACACTAACCCTTAACAAACTGAGTGTTGACAAGACCTTGATTGAGGTCTTTGCAAAGGGTGTGGACAAGGATCATGTGATCCTTCTTGCTGCAAGGGCTGCTAGGACTGAAAATCAGGACGCCATAGATGCTGCGATTGTTGGAATGCTTGCTGACCCAAAAGAGGTTTGTTTAACTGCTCTTCAATTTCCCCATTTTGCTGTACTTTGAATTCATTACTACTCCCCATTAAACCCCATCTAGCGGGGCTAGGGTGAGGATAATTCTTTTACGCAGCCTTACCCTTGCATATTTGCAAAGAGGCTATTTTCTAGATTAGAACTCGTAACCTTTCAGTTACAAGAGCAACTTTACCATTGTTCCAGGCTCGCACTCTCTTTTGAGTTCATTATTAGAAAAAATGCTGGCCTGAAATATTGAACATATATCTATGCCTTGTGCAGGCAAGGGCTGGGTTAAGAGAGGTGCACTTCCTCCCATTCAATCCTGTTGACAAAAGAACTGCTTTGACTTACATTGATAATGATGGAAATTGGCACCGAGCAAGCAAAGGTGCTCCTGAGCAGGTAACCGTGTTCAGTTTGTTCATAATTTGTGAGATTTATAGTTACTCCATTGATACTAATGTATTTATTTTGGTGAAAAGATCATGAACCTGTGTAACCTTAAGGAAGATGCTAAGAAGAAGGTCCATGCTATCATTGAAAAGTTTGCAGAAAGAGGGCTTCGTTCACTTGCTGTTTCTAGACAGGTTTTTATAGCTAGTCTTCATGTTTGAAGTTTGTACTGAAAAAATCTTCATTTCCCTTCACAAACATAATCCCTCATGGTTCTCCTCCGCTACTGTTGCAGGAAGTTCCTGAGAAAACAAAGGAAAGTGCTGGTGGTCCATGGCAATTTGTTGGTTTGTTGTCACTGTTTGATCCCCCTAGACATGACAGTGCTGAAACCATTCGCAGAGCTCTTCATCTTGGTGTAAATGTTAAGATGATTACGGGTAACTTATTTATCTAAACCACTCTTTTATCAAAACAAAGATTATTATCAAAGATCCTCAAGTCAATATCTTGACTTCTTTTTCTGCTCTTTAGGTGATCAACTTGCCATAGCTAAGGAAACAGGTCGTAGGCTTGGAATGGGAACCAATATGTACCCATCTGCTTCCCTGCTTGGTCAAGACAAGGATTCAAATATTGCTGCACTTCCTATAGAAGAGCTAATTGAGAAGGCAGATGGATTTGCTGGAGTTTTTCCAGGTTCATACTCTTCTACCAATTCACTATTATGAAACTTTTTTTTTTTTTTTTGATAGTTGCTAAATATGTTCTTATTATCTCCTATTGTCATTCTATAGAGCACAAATATGAAATTGTGAAGAAGTTGCAAGAGAGGAAGCACATTTGTGGAATGACAGGAGATGGTGTCAACGATGCTCCTGCTTTGAAGAAGGCTGACATTGGAATTGCTGTTGCTGATGCCACTGATGCTGCAAGAGGTGCTTCTGATATTGTCTTGACTGAACCTGGTTTGAGTGTTATTATTAGTGCAGTCTTAACTAGCAGAGCTATTTTCCAAAGGATGAAGAACTACACGGTTTGTTGCTCTATGCTTTCTTTGTTCTTTATCACTCATCCTGTTGTAAATTAACACTTGACACTATTTTCTTTTTGAATTTCAGATCTACGCAGTATCTATCACTATCCGTATAGTGGTAAGTAGATAGTATTGTTGTGGTTATATATGTATGACAAAAGGAATGAATGTTGATTAGTTTGGATTTTTCTGTTTCTGAATGCAGTTTGGCTTCATGTTTATTGCATTGATCTGGAAATTTGACTTCTCTCCCTTCATGGTTTTGATTATTGCCATTCTAAATGACGGTAAAGTTATTGACAGATATTTCTCTGAAATGTACTTGAAATCTCTTTATGCCTATGTTGAATGACCATGATAATCTGAAACAATATCTGTCATACTATTAGGAACAATCATGACAATTTCAAAGGACAGGGTTAAGCCATCACCCTTGCCTGATAGCTGGAAACTGAAAGAAATATTTGCTACTGGGGTAGTGCTTGGTGGTTACTTGGCATTGATGACTGTTATATTCTTCTGGTTAATGAATGATACTACGTTCTTCCCTGTAAGACAAATTTTACCTTGTATATATTCCTCACATGCCTTATCATTCCCATTTTAATGTTGTTGTTTTGGTTCAAATGTTTGACACACTTCCCTTGATGATCATTGCAGGACAAGTTTAAAGTTAGACACATAAAAGACAGCCCTGACGAAATGACAGCTGCTTTGTATCTACAAGTCAGTATAGTTAGCCAGGCTTTGATATTTGTAACCCGTTCACGTAGCTGGTCCTTTGTTGAACGCCCTGGGCTCCTGTTACTGGGTGCTTTTTTTATTGCTCAGCTGGTAAGGATGATACTCCATTTTTTGTGCTTGAGTTGGACCTATTTAACTGAAATGTGGCCAAAATAAGTTGCTAGTTGTTTCTTTCTGAGAACTCCTGTGACAGAAAGTTTGGAGTGATATTTTGAGGTTTATGGTCTTTGCAGATTGCTACATTAATAGCAGTGTATGCCAACTGGGGTTTTGCAAAGATCAAAGGTGTTGGTTGGGGTTGGGCAGGAGTCATCTGGCTCTACAGTATTGTCTTCTATATTCCACTTGACATAATGAAGTTTGCCACCCGCTACATCTTAAGTGGCAAAGCTTGGGTAAATATGATAGAAAACAAGGTACTAATAAATCTCACTTCTATTTATTTGGCATAACTGTTACGTGTTTTCACATTGTGACCCAGAGGTCACAGTTCAATTCATATAATCAACCTGTTGCAAATGTAAGATAAGACTGTCTATTATAGACACAATAGAGTGCAAGCTTTATAGCATCAGGTTGCCTTATATTATTATTTTGGAATGGTGAAATTTTTATGAATGGATTGGAACTGTTGTTTCAAAATGTGTGTGACAGACTGCCTTCACTACCAAGAAAGACTATGGTAAAGAGGAGAGGGAAGCTCAATGGGCTCATGCTCAGAGGACCCTACATGGACTTCAACCACCAGAATCTTCTGGTGTTTTCAATGAAAAGAGTAGCTACAGAGAACTGTCTGAGATTGCTGAGCAGGCCAAGAGAAGAGCTGAAGTTGCAAGGTAGCTTAAGATTATTATAATAATTATTACTATAGGAATATTTTATACCATGGTTCATTATTTGTTATTGTTGTGATATATAAAACCATTAATGTAGCCTCTCCTAATAACTTAAGCTTTTGGATTGAATTGGTTCTTTACATGGTATCAGAGCCTCGGTGTACTGGGTTCGATCCTCACCACCTCCTACTTTTTTTCTAGTGGAATTTATTTATACTCACATGTAGGTGGGCCTGTGCATTGTTTACCCTTCAAGCCCAGTGAGCTCTGGTGTGAGGGGACGTGTTGAGATATATAAAACCATTAATGTAGCCTCTCCCAACTTAAGCTTTTGGGTTAAATTGGTTCTTTACAGTTATATTCTTAGAAAGTCCTCTAGTGGAACTAGTACATGAAATTTTCTCTATTTTCAACAGGCTTCGTGAGCTTCACACACTTAAGGGACATGTTGAATCTGTGGTGAAGCTGAAAGGTCTAGACATTGATACAATCCAGCAGCACTACACCGTGTGATAAACAACACACAAAAGTTGTAGATAGAAAAAGGGCCAAAACTCAACGGCATACCTGAAAGAAGAAGAGACAAGAAGGCCTAACTACATAAATGCTTACTTACTAGGTAGGGAGAGGGAGTTTAGGATATATCTCTCCCAGTCTGTTTATTTTTTTTTTCATGTATTTCAAGTTCCAGTGAAAGGGTTGTCTTAGTAGGGGAAAAGTAGTGTTGCTTTTCCTCGTCCTTGGTTTTTCATGTTTATTGTATGTTACACTATAAAGTGGGAGTGATTAAACAATGAGCTACATGTTGCTACTTTTGTAGCTTGAGAATAAGAGTTTATCGATTTATGGCGGCATCATGCAAAAATTGAAACTTTACTTTGTCTCAACCTAATTTTTATATGGGACACATTAAATATTAAATATTATATCAGTATAAAAATAAAAAGCCTTGTATTAATTTTAATGACTTACATAATTAATAAATTAGAAACATTAAATATACGTAGGATCAATGATAAAAATAAAAAAGGGTTTCATTTTTTTGCAGACGTGGCAGAAAGATTTATCTGCCACATACATATATTCACAAAGATTCGTTGATGGATCCTTTTTAAAAATAAAAATAAAATAAAATTAGGATCCGATGTCAGATCCAGGTAAAAATGTGTGTCTATTGGTACAAAATAATTTCATCCTTTTATATTATGTGTCTGTTTACGGGACTTCAAATATGATTATGCTTACAAGATGTGTCTACCAATAAAAGAAACTAAGGGGCGTTTGGTTGAGGAGAAATTTTTTGAATACTAAAGAAATTGTAGCGGATGCTACCACAATTAAGAATTGGAGAAGAGAAGAGAAAGAGAACAGAGGAGAATAGGATGAACAAAGGGAAGAGAAATTGTCCAATTTTCTGATATCCTTCTCATTGCCACTATATGATAGTATATATAACCACCATGTGTTTGTTGTAACAAAAAGCTGACACAATTTTAAAATAGAAAATAACATAATAATTGGAAATATAACAGAATAATACGCTAGTGCATGTGTCTAGTATAATTGTTATCTCCATATGATGTGCTTCATCTGAAAATTGCCTGATACAGAAATGTAATTGATAGGGAAATGGTTAGAAAGTGAGTTTGGTAGAAAAATGTAAAAAAAGTTATTTGGTTAAAAAAAAATTTACCGGACAAATTAGGTAAAATTTATAAAGTCTATGTTTGGTTTGGGGTAAAATATAGATAGGAAAATAACTTCAAATTTCAAATATAACCCCATAAAAAAGTGAAACCTTGGCACTTTAGATGAGGGTATTTAAGTCTACTAGTAGATTGCTCTTTTACCATTTAGCTAGTTAAATGTAAAATACCACCTTCAAGTTGTCTTTCTAAATAGTAACTTTGGCTTGCTTTCTATGAACAAATAAGGAATGCTATGCAAATACAATACCTAGGGAAATTCTGTAAAATCTTCTACCAAACATTGCTTTCTTACTTTGCTAATTTGATTTGCATAGGTAAATTTTAAGAAATCTTCAACCTAACACCACCTTAGGAGTTCTGTTTCTGTTTTTTGTTTTTGGTAGTATAATGGGCTTCTGTTTTTGTTTTTGGTAGTCTAACGAGCTTCTGTTTACTCCAGGCAGCGTTTGGCGACATCAACGTGCGGCAGAGCAATTGTTCATTTCAATGTATCTGCTCTGCTTCTCTTTTAGTGATAATGTAATATTTTTCATTAAATATAACAAGTATAAAATGATTTTTCCTATATGTTTTGTTTTACAGAGCAGTCTGTGTTTTCTATTGAGGAGTGTGTTAACAAGTATGTAATATTTTTCATTAAATATTTTAATTATTCAAATAATAAAAAATATATTTTAAGACTCTCAAATATCACATCCGTATTATTCATTTAATATTCAATATTCTGAATTCTTTAACCAATGTCTTAACAACTAGGGCATGTTTCTCGATAATACTTAGTGGTTGAGCATGCATATAATTTATTGATACATAGTTCAATATCTGAATAATCACCTCAATGAATACCTTTTACTTTAATATTAAGAAAGATTCTAAAAGGACGTGACCACCTCAATGAATACCTTTTACTTTAATATTAGGAAAGATTCTAAAAGGAGGTGACGTGTCTCCCCTCACCTCTATATAAAAATATAAAAGCCCTTTATAAAATGATAGCTTGTTAGATAATTTCTCTAAAGAGAAGTCAAGAGAGTAACCTTTTCAAAGAAGAACTTTTGCATATTTCTAGTGTTACTAGGGAAATTTGAACTTGTGTATCCCCATTACTATTAAATAGTGAAAGATTTTGCATTGCTGTGGTTTTAACCCCATTGCATTAATGGAGATTTCTCACATTAAAAGCTTGTTTTGTGTGTTTTATCTCCATCTCTATTCTCTATATATTGGTTGACTTGTTGACTAAATGTTGACCTCCAAATGCCAAATTGCTGAGACTTGAACTTGTTTTAGCGCTATAAGAGCGACGTCATCCCAACAACAAAGTCGTTTATCAACACCTTTTTCTAAGTAACTTGTTTTAATGTACTATTAATATACTTAATTTTGTGATCAATACAATTTATTTTTTTCCATTTTATTTTGTTAATATTTCATTTAAGGGTTTGATGAATCTTATGTTGTTGAAAATAAAATTATCTCTTACATTGTATAACAAAAAAAATCATCTCTTACACACACATAAAAGTGTGTGGACCTATGTGAGGCCATGCAAAAAGAAAAGAGATAAAAAAAAATGAACCCTAGATACTTTTATGTCTGTGTAGTAGATAAAATTATTTCATACAACATGAGGGACATTAAACTCTTAATTAAAACGTATTTTAGATTAAAATTGTTGGACAAATACATATTTTATTTTACTCATAGGAAGAAGTAAAAAAGTATCCCCTTAAATATCCTTTTTCTCCTTACTTTGGCCAGAAATATTTTTAGATTAAAATTCTCTATTACATTACAAAACTAATCATATAAAAAAGAATCAAGTTTCATATTACATAAAAGAAAATTGTAAAAAAAAGGATGCAATTTAAAATTTGAGGGATTAGCCTGCATTTTTTTTAAATAAAGAAAATTAAAATAGAGTTATTATTTGACACTGATATTCTCATTAAAATAAGCTATGTTACACTGACACGTGACACGAAACACGACACTCTGACACGTTAATTATAAAAAATATTAGATTTTGATACGCTAGGACACATTTTGATATTAAATAATATTTTTAATTTATGTAGTGTATATTATATTTAATATTCAATAATTTAACATAAAAATGAAGCTAAACTTATAATACTCATCAATTTTGCAAATAAACATAAGATATCCCAAATATTTATATTAAACTCAATAAAATGGTTATCATAATCTAACAAATCTAATAATTGGAACTGAAAACGCAATTCAATATAACCTTCGAACCTTTTTTTGAGTCTCTGCAGCACTTGTTGGAGTGTCGAAAAGTATTAGACACAATATTTCATGTTTTTTGAAGTGTGAGTGCATCATAGAAAATAAGACTAAAAAATTGAATCATGAAGGTTTTATTGAGTTGACTTTTTGCTGACCTATTCAATCTTTAATTTTAAATAATAAAATGTGTACTATTTGATTGTGAGTTTTAAAAATTTGAGGGTGTTTAATTCATCGATTATAATTTAGTTATTTCTTTGAATTTAGTTTATTGAATTTCCACTCGGTTAAAGTATTCAAGATGATCAACATTTACTAATCTTTAAATTCATTTCTTTCTATAATTTATTCATTAATTCTTTAGTTACAATTTAGTTATGATATTTTCTTTTGACTTTATATAGTCAAAGATAATAATCTCACTAGAAAGTAATCGCCTCATGGTATCATATTTTTGACTTATATGTTGAGACTTATAGTTGTATATAAAAATTATCTCTCTTCCGGTTGCTTAATTGTCATAATGCATACACATAGATGGCACTGATTTAGGCTACTTTCATTCAATACATACCATCGTGAATTCAATGCAATGCACACTCAACTTTCATATTCAAATCTCAATAAATATTCTCAGTAAATTTAAGAGTAAAGACCCAAATTGGTCCCTGACAAAAAATGCGGTGGCCAAATTAGTCCCTAAGAAAATAAAATCGTTGAATAGTCTCCAACAATGTGAAACAGGACCCATGTTAGTCCTTCTGTCAATCCAAAAGTGACGGTGTGAATGACGGTGCTGATGTGTCACGTTAAGTGACATGCTGAAGCCCACGTGGATATGAAGAACGACGTCGTTTGTTGATACTCATACACCTTGGACAAACCTTTTTTTGTAAAACCCAAATTTGCCCCTCACCTAACCGTTGGACACTTTACCTTTTCCCTCTCTTCTAACATTGACGCTTCATTGTTGAGAAGGAAGGAAGAAGACCGTGGAGTAAACCTTGGTGCCTGTGTTTGGAATACTGCGAACTTCTTCAAGAATCGAAGGGAACCAGTGGAAGACAAAGATAACTTGGGAGACTTTGTGAGTGCTGAGCATACCGTTCAAAAAGATAAGAGTATTTATATGTTGAAACATTTTTATATTGTTCTTTGTCATCCTTTTGCTTGTGGTCCCCATGTTGTTTCCCTTTGTTTAATGCTTGTTTTTTTCTGCATGAAGTGGACATTTGTGGTCCATGCTTCCATTTAGGGTTTTGTTTTAAAAGAAAGTAACAACCGGGTGGTGTGGTCCCTGTTTTAGAAAAAGTGCCATGGTTGACCCATTTAAGTGCATTTAAAAATCCCATGTTTAACGTTGGAATACATGTCATCATCCATAAAAAAGGTTGCTTTTTTATTGTTTTGTATTGTTTAACCCTTTCAAAGTCTGTTGCTTCATGGTTTAATGATAGGATTGGATTTTTGGTTTTGGCAGATGTCCGAATACATAGTTATTGTTTATCATCACAGTGGTATTTTAGTCAGAGATGAAGATGGAGTGATGACCTATATAAATGGAAGGGTGGACTCATTGCCAGAGATGGACATTGACTACTGTAATATCCGTGACCTTAACACCCTGTTTAAGCAATATGGGTATGAAAAATGCAGGAGGATGATGTGGCTACAGCCTGGGGTACCCGATTTGGAACAAGGGCTCAGACCTCTTAGTACAGATTCCGATGTGTGTGCCATGTGTGAGGCTGCTTTAGGGAATGACAATGAGAAAC